TCGATTTTGCCATCTTTCTATGAATTATATTAGTGATCATTAAGAAAATACATATTTTATATTTAATCAGAGGGGGTGTACTCATTTATGCTGTGCACTGTATAATAAAAACATTTGACCTAAAATAGATAGTCCAGACAATAAAACGTACTGTAAAATTCAGGACTGGATTAGCCATATGGGCATTTGGGCAAATGCAATACCTTCCTCCAGCCTGGTAAAATCAACAATGAAGTGACATCAAGAACAGTTTGGGTTTGTACACTACTGACATCACAGCTCTAGTTTGACTCTGCTGGGACTTCTGCATCTCCAAACGCTTTCCTTTAAACGGGTTCATCCTTTTTGTCAGCGCAAATTGCCCAAAAATGTCAACAGAAACAGGGACCCGACAAAAGAGGATGCGCACTGAAAACAAGGGGGTCAGAGCCAAGTAACTCGAACAGCAGACTCGAACCCGCGACCTTCGGGTTCCAAGTCCGACTCTCTAACCATAAGGCCACGACTGCCCCCTATGAGCACATTACAATGCAAAACATGTGTCACTTGGTATGGCAATAACACGGTTAACTTGATTTTACAGCCACTGTGAAAAAGTTTTCCAAAACGTATCAGCATCTTTCTCCCAAAATCTTTGTTTCTCACACATTTCTCTCAATAATATTTAAGCACTCCTGTACATACTGATCTGTTAAAACAAGTTGGCTTGGATGTTTTATCATGCCAATGAAAGTCATAATGTGCCCACCAGAGCAACAGTAACAAAAATACTGTAAGAATTGCTTGTACTCAAAACTTTAAGTCCCTGCTGATAAACTACCATGCATATACAGTAACCTCTTGTTGATTACTTTGGGGCATTTTTTATTATAAGAAAGTAAAAAATAGGCTTGATTAGATTCAGAGCTTAATAGTCACTAAAAGCATTTGCTAATTTACGATTACTACTGCTTTATGACAACTACTGGAGGTCAAGAACTAACAAAGAGTAACTTGTATGTACAAAGGAAGTGTAATTTGCATAAAATGAACATATACTGTACCACACTGATCATCTATACTGAAACTCCACTGACTTGATTTCACCCAAAGAGTCTCAGCAGCTCCCCAGTCCAGGGATTTGGCTACATAGAGCTGTGCGACTGTCAACATTGCCCCAGTGTTCATTCACTGGAAATGTCGAGTCAGTCTCTGAAGCACATTTCAGGATGTCACTGCACTTTTTAACAGAAATGATATGCATGCTGCAAACAATGAATCATAACAGATGGATACTGGAAGGGGTGAGTAATACAGTGATGTTGTTAATAACTAACATTTTATTACACAACCACCATTGTTTAAATGTTTGGGGTCCGTAAGATTTGTAAAATGTTTTTCAAAGTCTCTTTTGCTCATCAAGGCTGCATTTATTTGATCAAAAATACACTAAAATCAGTAATAATGTGAAATATTATTGCAATTTAAAATAACAGATTTCTACTCTAATATATTTTAAAATGTAATTTATTCCTGTTTTGGCAAAGCGTGAATTTTCAGCAGCCATTATTTCAGTCTTCAGTGTCACATGATCCTTCAGAAATCATTCTAATATGCTGATTTGGTGCTCAAGAAACTTTGATCTATATTAAAATCAATTGTGCTGCTTATGTTTTTGTGGAAACTGTGATACTTCTTGAATAGACAGTTCAAAAGTACATCAAAAGAGCATTAATTTGAAATTTAAATTTTTTTTTTTACACTGTAAAGTTGCACCATTTAAACATCCTATCATAACTTCCAATTATAAGTTAAGCACATTTTTAAAAGTACTTAGGACTTGCTAATTACTACTAGTACTTAGAGTCCTTATAACTAACTTCTACCCATTGCTTTGTCTGCATTGACATTTTACAAATAAGGAGAAAACAATCATCATCCCTCTTTATTTTTTTCCCCACACACTGTATGATCATTACCAGAATTGTTCTTGTCACAGCTTGATGTAACAAAGTGTCCTTAGGGCAAATCACCACTGACGCAAACATTACGCAAAACCATCTTCAGATGTGCTTCAACTGAAGTGCACTAGACGTGCCATGAACATTTTATACCTAATATACAAACTCTAGGCCCTCAATGTTAGCTGCGTTTTTCTAGCAAACATATATTCTTGAAAGGAATAGTTCACACAGAAATGACTCTCATGTCCTTTTAAACCTGTATGATATTATTTTCCAATAAAGCATTATAGTAAAAAACTCTCAAGAATGTTCATGCTGCTCTCCTTCCTACAACAAAGGCTGTTCAAGATCTAACAAAACCAAAAAGCACCACAGAAATAGTCCAAATGACACTTTTAAAGGCAAAAGGCATTGGTTCTTGCATATGTCAAAGGACTGCATTGCACCAGCTCGATTAAACTGAATGGACAATTGTATTCTACAATGAAGATGAATTTCAGTGACTATTGACACAACACTATTGTACGGCTTTAAAGGACTTGGAATATATACTACAGTTCAAAAGTTTGGGGTTGGTAAATTTTTCGAAAGAATTCTCTTATGCTCACTAAGTCTGCATTAGTAAACTGTAAAACAGTTTACAGTAAAAACAGTTATTGTGAAATATCAAACAGTTATTGTGAAATATAATTCTATTACAATTTGCATTATATTAATTACATATGTATTTTAATTTAAAAAGAACTGTTTTCTATTTTAATATATTTTAAAAACTATTCATGTGATACAAACTTATCCATCCACACATGAAATACTGTTTATTCCGAAACAGATCCTGAATTTGAAATATTACTTCAGTTAGTTTTACTCCATCTTATTTTTAATTCCAAGGGAACTAAAGTAAACAAGCGGCACAGCGTACCCCACTTACTACTACTTTGGCCAAAAGTGAGCTTAAAGATACATACTGAATTTATCTAAATGAATCTGACACATTTAGGAGAGATACATTTTTTTCTGGAGGGAGGTGAAAGAGAAAGCAAGAGAGATACTGAGAGAGAGAGAGGAGAGACTTTCGTCCCTGTGGACAACGTGAGCCGAGGACCAGTGCAACTGTAAGAGCGAGCGTTATTTGTCTTCTGCCGGCCGAGCACGAGAGCGCAGGGTAGCGCTGTTCATTTAATGCAAGGTTAGGCAGCCTGATGTGATGAATGGACTGTCGGCAGGAGAATAAGTCCATGCACTCAATCATGGGGACGACAGCATTTTCCCTTCATTTTTGGGGTGCCTCCATAATTACATGACAAAGCAGTGCAAAATAGGGTGCTGAATCCCATCTATGACTATAAACGGAATTTTCCTCATTAAATTCAAGGATATTTAAAATCTGCAAATTGCTTGTACCTGCCTAATATCTAAAAATGGAAGTTTTTAAACAGGGAGGAAATCGGGATGTGCTTTTCCATTACTGGAGAGCAGCAGAAAAATGAGATGATGTTTACAAACTCCATTAAATTCAGAGTAACTCGGAGAGGGGAAGGGAGATAATAATACAGTATTGATTAATCTATAAAAGCTATAACAAAGAAGCAGGAACAATAATGCTTGGACAAAAGAAAAATTGCATTTGAAATTTCAGTTGCATTTTTTGGTCCGTCTCTCACCAAGTCTCTCTCTTTCACTGACAAATACACACACATACTCTCTCTCGCCAGAAAGTACACCCGGCACGAATGGTGACCTTGCAAACAATATATCTAGAAACAAGGATCATATTGTCTCAAAAGGAATAGTTCACGCAGAAATGAATTTAGTCACCCTCATGTTATACTAAACCTGTATGGTGTTACTTTTCAATGAAGCACAAAAGAAGAAACTCTCAAGAATGTTCATGCTGCTCTGCTTCATTCAACAGAGGTTGTTCAAAATCCACTAAAACCAAAAAGCACCACAGAAATAGTCCAAATGACCCTTTTAAAGGCAAAAGGCATTGGTTCTTGCATGTGTCATAAATGACTGCATTGCACCAGTTCGATTAAGTTGAATCGACAAATATATTCTACAATGAAGATGAACTTCAGTAACAATTGACACAACGCTATTGTACAGGTTCAGAGGACTTGGACTCTGCATTTATTTGATCAAACATACAGCAAAAAAGTTATTGTGAAACATTACAGTTATATTACAATCAATATTATATTACATATATTATAATTTAAAAATAACTGTTTTCTCTGTTAGTATATTTTAAAATATAATTTATTCCTGTGATGCAAAACTGAATTTTCAGCATCATCACTCCAGTGTTCAGTGTCACATGATCCTTCAGAAATCATTTTAATATGCTGATTTGCTGCTCAAGAAACATTTCTTATTATTATCAATGTTGAAAACAGTTGTGCTGCTTAATATTTTTGTGGAAACTGATTATTTTTTCAGGATTCTTTAATTATTAGAAAGTTCAAAGGAACTGCATTTATTTGAAAGATTATAAAGTCTTTACTGTCACTTTTGAACAGTTTAATGCAAACTTTTGTCATTTGTTAGAAGTCATACAATCTACTTTTATGGAAGCTTTATGTCCTTTATGGAGCTTGACAAACATGGCCACAATGGTAGTTATTCAATGAGACAAGAGCTGCATGACTATTCTTTAAAAATTTACCTTTTTGTTTAACAGTACTAGAATGACAAGAGATTGAGTAAAATATTCCTGTAATGCTCTTTAACTCTATTTGATCTTACACTTGGAGACCTTTGGTTGAACTTATGCCATGAAATAATTAAAGTAAACTTTTCACTGTCTGTCGTTACATTCACGTGTAAGAAAACCTGTCTGTCCATCAAACCAGACTGATGTCTGAGCTCCCTGACCCATGCCAGACAATCAAATAGCCAATCCATCTTCCCACTCCTAATTAATCTTCACACATGACAACCTTGATTAGCTCTGAAGATTGAAGTGTGTGTAAGTGTGTGTGCAATAATCACGGTTTGTTTGCGAGTTTGTTGGTAAATGGGTTTGTGTGTGTGTTAGAAGTTGGATCTACTCACTGTACAGAAGGTGCAGGCCGTTATCTTCAAGCTGAAGTCTACAGTGAACTCTAGCTCAGACACAGTCACAGAGCCACAGTCAATAGTCTAGAGAGGGGTCACAAAAAATATATTTGTTTCATAAAAATATTACGGCCATGCCATTCCATTTTATATAACAAAGAAACCATACAGTCAACTTTGTCTTATGTTGTTAATAACTTTTTGTATTATAGTCTTTCAACTTCAAGGAACAGTTCACCCAAAAATGAAAATTTGCTGAAAATTATACCCACCCTCAGGCCATCCTAGGATGTAGATGATTTTGTTTCTTCATCGGAACAGATTTGGAGAAATGCAGCATTACATCACTTGCTCACCAATGGATCCTTTGCAGTGAATGGGTGCCGTCAGAATGAGAGTCCAAACAGATCACGACTCCAGTCCATCAATTAACACTGTGAAGTGAAAAGCTGCATGTTTGTAATAAATCCATCATTCTAAAATTTATAATAATAATTCCTCCAGTGAAAATGTCCATCCCCTTTGTCCTCTTACATCAAAATCCACCAACATACTTGTTTAGAACTGGTTTGGACTGTTTTCACTTGTAAACAGTGCTTGATCTGCATATTTCTCTCCTGATTTAGACAATATGACTTTTCACTGGAGAAAGCAAAAACATCTTGATGGATTTGTTTCTTACAAACATGGACTGGAGTGGTGTGGACTGCTTGTGGATTATTGTGATGTTTTTATCAGCTGTTTGGACTTTCATTCTGACGGCACCCATTCACTGCAGAGGATCCA